CGCAGAGTAAACAGAAGAGAATTGATTACATAACTTTCTGCAAGGCAGGAGAGAATCTCCCCAAACAGCCCCCCTCCCAACGCAAACGGCTAAATGACCAATTCGTAACTAGCTCAGCGGACTGGCAGGTCCTGGTGGACATGAAGGATGAGAAACTTGTTTTCCCCCACTTCATAGCACCTACAACCTGTCGTCCAGACATAGTGCTCTTCTCCAAAGAATTGAGAAGAGTTCTGTGGCTGGAACTCACGGTATGTAGTGAAGATCGCTTTGCACAATCGCGCGAAATCAAAATCGAACGCTATCGTCACCTTCATAGCGCGTGTGTAAGGAATGGCTGGGATACGGAAAGTCACACAGCAGAGGTGGGAGCGAGAGGCGCCATATCCACCAGCTTGGATTCCTTCGCGAGATCCTTGCGCTGCACTAAGGAACAGCGCAGGCTCTTGCGGAAGAATTGTCGCCAAGCAGCGCTGAACTCAAGCTATGTCCTATGGCTAAGGCGAAGGGAGCGAACATGGCGCGACTGGCCGTTGTATTAAAACTGTTTGGTGAACCTGTTGTAGAGCACTTGGTGGGCGATCGGCCACCCAGCGAGGATAGTTGGACGTCCTTAAAATCAAGATTTGAACTCGCCATTCCGGCCTCTAAAGGGCCGGGGGTGGACGATCGCCAACCTTGCCAACCTCTCGTAGTCACTTGTTCTTGTCGAATCGTTATTTTCATAGCCTACTCGACATTCGCCCTACAAATTACCATACATCACAACGCAACTACCTGTACATGACACACCATACCATACGGACACAACCACACCCCAACTGTACTGGGGGCCTATCTCTTCGAATTGCATTATATGAGTTTCTTTTTCCTTTTTTCTTTACCCGTTACTGTCTAAAAAGCAGTCGAAACGGTTTTTATCCACCATTTGATGGTGAGCATTTCCCTTCTTCTTCTTCTCCTTCTTCTTCTTCTTCTTAGTCTCGTCCACAACTTCACTACAAGAGTCCCGTCCACATTGCACTACGCTGAGCACTGGCCTGCTCCCGCTCTGAAGAGGTTTTTGGCCTTCACCGTTTTTGCTCAACCTCAGGCATTGGCCCACAGTGGCATCCGCTTCCTTTTTTCTTTTTCTTTTCTCCTTTTACTTTCCCCGTCACTGCCTAAAAAACAGTCGAGACGGTTTTTTACCCACCAGTTTTATTGGTGCGAATTACTTTCCTCATTCTGCCGTATTTTGGCTGACGCCCATCTGTCAGCCAACATTGGGACGCCCATCTGTCCCAAAAATCTGGCGCTCACCTGCCAGTACACTAGACGCCCAGCGTCACCACACCGTAGCAAAGCGCTACACCCGGTCTGACGGGTTGATACCCCTTCAGACTGTAAACCTTCTTATCACAAGTCCTATAAGCAGAGATGCTGGCCCGAGGGGGCGAAAGCGGCCGGAGCATAACCCCTCCCTGGACTGCCCATCAAGTCCAGACCCTCCACCTATGCCAACTACCCGGGAGAGCTACGGGTCTGGTAGTGACGTGTCAAAGCCGATGGCCGCCTGTAGCTTTTCGAATTCGCAGCTAGGTGGAGTGGTGTGCGATAGGTGCGGAAGCACCCTGAGCCACGCCTACAACTTAAGTCGTCATTATCAGACGAAAAAATGCATCAAACTTCCCGCAGAACCAGGGGCTGCGCCTGCGGGAAAGCAACCAATAGCTGCCGCTGCAGCCATCAACCAAAACAGTTTTAAAGATTGTGCTAGTAAAAAGCCATGTCCGCATTGCATGAAAAACATATTCAAATCTAACATGGCACGTCACCTTAAATCCTGTAAGGTTTACCTAAGTAAGGGAATTGACATTCCGCTCACCCCTAGCAATAGGAGTGGTAACACGGATGTTGCCAACCCAGTCAGCCCGCCTCCTGAGCACAGCGCTGACGGCAACATTGTCACAGCCGAGACGATGGAGCATAGCTCCCAGCAAGTGTTACATGCAAATGATGATAAACCGGATCAGGATCTACCCAATAACAAACTGTACCTGCCAAGGTCTAGCCTTGCCTGGGCAAAAGCAGACCAACAACTTGAGCAACACATTAAGCGCCATTTTCCTCTGTCAAAAATCAAGAATGCTGACCCTGATGAATCCCTAGGTCAACTAACGTCTTTCCTAAGATTTTTCTTCACTGACTACACCGCCTTGGCTGCAGTTCCAAAGCGCCAGTCGACCAAACCACGCCAATCCAGATGCCTAACGGAGCTCTACATGGAGCGCCGCGCCCTACGAAAACAATACCGAGCAAGGGACCAATTAGACGAGCATGTGGTTGAGATCCTCAGAAGGGATTATAACCGGGTGCAGAAGGACATCAAAAAACTGCGGAAAATCATCAAAACACACGAGCAGGATCGCGAAGCACAAAAGCAACGCTCTGCCTTCCTCCGAGACCCCCATAAGTTCGCCAAACGGCTATCCCGGAAAGAAACGCCCGTCAATCCTGAATTCTCACAACAGACTTGTTTTGATTACTTCTCCAAGTTGTATGAAGACCCGGAACGTGGGCAAACTTTCTCCCTACCGGATTTTTCTCCAGCCACGAGCAAACCGTCCACTCCGTTAACTGACGGGAGTCCAACATGGACCCTGTTTCAAAATACCCTAAGAAAATGCAGGAACAAGTCAGCTCCTGGTTCAAACGGTATTCCGTACATAATCTGGAAACGATGCAAATGCCTGCACAATATCCTTTTCAGCATCTTCGAAACAGTTTGGAAGACTGGTGTCATCCCGCGATCTTGGCAGTGCGCCTCCGTTACACTAATTGCTAAAAGTGACAGTGTGTCAGATCCAGCAAAGTTCCGACCAATCGCTCTCTCCAACTGCGATGGTAAGATCTTCTTTGCCATGCTGTCCAAGATACTAACTCGCCATATGTTGGTGAATGAGTATTTTGATGGCATGACACAGAAAGGTTTCCTGCCGGGAATGTCAGGCTGTGTGGAGCATGCTACTCTGTGTAGCGAAGCCATGAAAGACTCGAAGAGGAACAAGCGCTCCATAGCCATTGTGTGGATAGACCTAAAGAACGCGTTCGGATCAGTAAAGCACAATTTAATTCAAGCGGCATTGCATCGGTACCATATCCCACTGAAAATCAGAAGACTTGTATTTTCTTACTACGAACATCTCACTGCTTCCGTACGAAAGCCCCAGACCCGGA